ATAAATGACGTCTCGTCGAAGACAACACCAGAGACCTCTAGGCCAGAGGAAAGCTCAGGGGCAACTGACTCTGGGCTGTTGATCGCAAGAGTTGCAGGCTTGTACTACTGAAGAAGATATTAACAACGATCAAAACATACGGCAAGAGACTGACCTCATAAGGCTTGGTTTCAGCAACATACCTCACGGCCATCTTCAGGACATACAGGATCCACCTTGGTATAGAGCCAAAATTGATGGATGGCATAACCTTGGTGTTTATTAGGTCAGGCCCGAAGTACGTGAAGCCACCTTTGGGACTCACTTTCCTGTGTTGTCTGCCAGAAGGAATCTTCAGTTTCCTCTGTTTGGGAAGGATTTGGTGATGGATCACTTTCCTGTGAACTCAGTTTCCCGATATCATTAGTTGACTGAAGCCTCTACCTTCGTTGGCGGGTCGCTATTGGGGTGTGATGAAACTCATGTTAAGCCAGTATCTTCAGGCTGTAGGACAATTGAGACTTCATTAACGGTAGGGGGGAATCATTGCTGGACTCTGCTGGGGGAGGAGGTATGTCGGGAAATAGCCTTTCAAACCTCAGAATTCCATTTTCCAAGCAATATAAAATAATCTTGTTCTGAGAGACTTTCAAGGATGAAGGACTTGCGACTGGAAAATCTGATGGCCATCAGACCAGACAAACACCATTGACATCCAATCAGCTGTGATTGGATTAGTCCATTCATCTCTACATTGCGTACACCATTCACAGTCCTGGCAATTCGTGTGAGCCAGTGATTAGACCGATATCTTAGATGTAACTCACCTCAACGCCCTGCATACATCATCATACAACTCAGTCTTCAATGATCTTGCAGGTCAAAGCACAGTCTGCACTGGTATAACAGAATGAAGAATACCATTCCCTCAATTGACAGCGAAAGTCAGACCTTTCACAGCTCTGTCCCACACTGTGGCATCTTGAAATGTTAATTGGAAGAGATATCTGGCATACCATTCTGCAGCTAATCACCGTGTCTATGGATAGTATTTGAGAGAGCACAAACTTAGTAAGAGCAAGGCCAAAAGACCTCTTCGGAAGGATGAAGTTCTCTATCTGCAAAGGCTTTGATAATTGTCAGGATCCATTCCATGAAAGTGTCTAGTCTCTTGAGAAAAAGGAGATCAGGAGGATGGCCGTACTTGAGCCTGATTTCAAAATCTATAAGTCGTCAATTATCACGGCAAAAGCCCGGAAGAGTGGTCCCTTAAGCTTGAGCCTGAGGAGTCATATTCGGAACACGAACCAACGTCAAAGGCCACAGATCCCTCCATTCTCCACACTTATCCTCAAAACGGCCCGACTGTGTCTGCTCTTCTCGAAAAGGCTCAATCTCCCATGGTCCAACGTGATCTGGTTCTGCGGTTTATTCGTTGAATATTCGAACCCTCTAATGTGGAGGCAAAGGAGATGCTAGGTGCATCACTGCTATAGACAGGAGAGATTGACCAAGCTCGAGAGGCAAGTCAACTGTCATCCTGGACATTGTATCTCCCTTTCAGGCATTCCTGTCACTACTATTGCCCAATCCAGATGCCCCGACTCCTCCACCATCTTCAACTCATCTATACCTTGCACAACTCAATGATGGTGACCCACGATTGGGCAATCTTAGTACTAGTAGATTTGGAGTCGATGTCTGAGGAGAGTTCGAGTATGGTCGCGCTTCCATTCAGAGCATTGGCTGAGCAGTCAATATCAAAGTAACGGGAGGAAATAGACAAGTCTGCTGTGAGATTCATTCCAAAAGTTTTGGCTAGCTTCTTCTGCAAGATAACTGAGTAACCTCTCACAGGATTTGCAGGACCGGCCGCCGAAAGAGCTAAACTCGAGAAGGTACACAGTCTAGTGATCGGAAAAAAGGGCTTCAATAAAGGAAAAATCCTCTCACATTCATGTGTCTGTACAGTTCTCAAGCCTAATCTCGACACCTGCTTAGATAATGTCCACAAACTAGAAAGTCATTGAACACAATCGACAAGCACTTGGAAGCTACGCATCACGACAGAAGCAGTTCCACGCAATTACTAGGGTATTGGAAAGCCGGCCCAATAGCTGGGAATGTGGGGACATTGATACACTTGAACCTTCACCGCACAACCCACTTTTGACGCCGATATATCGCCTTCAGAACCTCTGGCTCCACCGAAGCCCACTAGACTATTTCCGGTCTTGCTGTCAATGGAACCACCCACCTCCAAATCCATGAGCCAGACATCGGTACTTCAAATTCTGCTTGTTGGACACGATTTTTCTGCTCATGTCACTAGGAACATTTATCTCATTATGATAGGTGAGTTATTTTCCTTTCAAGGTGGGAGCATGTTGGCAATGTGGCCTTTCGAGGGGCGCAGATTCGTACCGTCCGACCCGAGACCCACGTAACCGAACATCGTCACGTGGAGGCTGTCACTTATCAGATAAGCCGACGTCTACCGGTTCAGGGTCGTTCTCGCTGCCTGTTCGCCCACTGACTCCGTACGCATAGGCAGATTCCTGATACCGCACACGTTATACCACTGGAAGATATGTTTCCGTCTGAGCCGCGTCGAACGTCTGATTCGGCGAGTGAAGACGAGGCACTCCTCCCGATTTCGCATCGCAGTGGTTCCAGAAAAACACGCCCAAGAGCATTTCTCCCTACGCTCACGAAATGGAAAGCAAATCCATACTGGTCAATCCTGCTATAACCTTTCCCGTTTACCCCCTCTTCTCATTCACTTCCTTAATGTTTCACAGCTTACTCCCCATTGTTCTTATCGTTTCAATGTCGGTGCGTATATCATTGATCGTGTCGAATTACGTCTGATACCCCTTCAGCGGGGAGTGACCATGTCTCCGCGCATTCAAGTATACAGAGCAATTGCTTGTCGAGCATTAAATGCTGAGGAGGATTCTCATCGTTCGAGTCTTCAATATTTCCTCACTGCCGCAGAGGACTGTTCAAGCGCAGCAGTGCAGGCACGAGCCGCAAGGATACAAGCATGTACGCTTACACTAAACTCAAACATTGTCTGTTTCGATCATGCAAAATTTAGCTGTCGTGACGCTTATGAGCGTGCTGAGTGCCATCGCAACTGGCTTTTGGAGTAGGCTAGGCGATGTGCATGGCAGAAAACCTGTCCTTGCTTTGTTCCTCTTAGGGGCGATCTGCATGTGCGTAATCGCTGTCTGATTTATATACAAGAATTTGAAAAATCACCCAGGGAATTGACCTACGTACTTGTCATGCGCCAGGAATCCCTTTTTGGACGTCATGCAGAAGGGTTTATTCTCGCGGGTCCGATTCTTGAAGGCTTGGTTGGCGGTCTGTCATCTTTTAATGGCGTTGTTCACGCGTGAGGAATGACAGCCTGTCGATTTTTTGTTTGGTCTCAATCGTTGTGCAGATATACCTCTGACTGCACAAGACATGGATCACGGTGTGTGTATTTGGTAGCCAAGGCGGTTCTACTTATTTTCTGTTTCAGGTCAGGGATATTTTCCACAATACAAGGCATCGTTTTTGTTGGCTTGGCTGCGGGACCATGGGTGCGCTTACCTCCTGACGAAGCCTCAGTGAGACAACTGACAGAACGTGACTACAGTTCAGTGGCCTCGTGTTACCAAAATCTGCAACCTTGGAGGTTGAGAATGCATTCGCTTTGAGCATCAGCCTTTTATTGGCAGTACTAATCTATATCCTCTCAATTTGTCCCGAATCTCGAGAGCCTACTCTGCCGGAAGATGATATCTATCACAGCGAGAGGCCTCTATTTACGTGGGATCCTGTCGCCGTCATTCGCAGTCACATTGTCCAATTCATCAAGGCGCTGGTCATTCCTATCACCATGTTTGCCCCTCGATCTGTACCAGGTCGACCAGGAAAAAGCTATAATCTTACGTTGGTCGGGATGGCATTGTTTCTCTACTTGGTGTCAATTGTACTTTCACTTATTTTGTCCTCACCAGAATAGATACTCAACAGTCTATAGGGAGTATACTCTGCCAAATACCTGTATGCACAACATGTATACTCCTGGACGACTGCAGAGGTAGGCTACCTGACTTTTTGTGAGAAAGTATTCTGACCTCGCGCAGCTGGGCTACTACATGTCCATCTTGTGGATCACAAGGGCTTTCAATCTTTTGGTTTTCCTTCCCAGTACGTGCGCCACTATTTTGCAGGTAACTTAGTAAAGCTATGATCCAGTCATCATATCGTATTTCAAGCCCAAGACCAACAGTGCGAGCCCGGATTCTGCTCACATCGCCGCAGAGCTGCACTTCGATAAACGCCTTGCTCAGGCTTCTCTAGCTGTTGACGGCTTGGCAGATGCTCTTGTCGCGTTGACTCCAGCCTCTTCACAAACGTTATTCACTGGACTTTCATGTCTGTCCTCGTTTACTTCTGGAGGAAACCCCACGCTGCATTCGCTGGCGGCAGTATGTCTCCATGCGTGCGGTTTTAGTTCTGAAGTGGGGGCTCTGTTTGGTGGTCTGGCTGTCCTATCGGCGATTGCACATATCATCAATGTAAGGGAGTATTGTGTCCTGGCTGAGTTGTCACTGACTAACGGCTGACAGCCTTACATCTATGCTCTAACGTACAGTTCAACCGTCGCCTATTTCCCGAAGGCAATATTCGTTCTTGCTACAGCATTATTGTCTTCTGCTGTTCTCCTATTGACAGGTGTTTCATCGAGAACGGAGGATGTCGTCATACGCGAACGACCTCCCGAGGACGACGAATACTCAAGTGGTAGCGGCTCCGCTATTTAGAAAGAACGCATTACCCATCACCATGTGCTACAACTTACGATACCTATGAGTTTTATGTCTATGTATATTAAATGTTTTTTACCTGTTAGTTGAACTGAAATTCCGAGATATATTTATTCATATTACGAACTAGTCCTTAGAGCATGAATCTTAACCAGTCAAATTAGTCGCAAAGCAAAAATGTCAATCCACTAACCATGGACACACCCGGAATTGAACCGGGCACCGCCCGCATGAAGCATGAAATAATGCTAAGCGGGCGTGATAACCAACTACACCATGTGCCCAATGAACACATTTCTCTTAATATATATACCGACATTTTATAATACGACTCGGTCCTGACATCCCTCGATTCCAAACCACGTGGGTCCAATGCTTAGTAATAGCAGTATCTCTTGGTCTTCATTTCCTCACGGACGCTTTACTTCAAATATGTCCCATCTCAAAACATATCTCGCAGAAAAATACATGTCTGGGCCAAAGGCTGACGCTATTTTGGCAAAAACAGCGCCGCTGAAGAAGAAGAAAAGAAAGGCAGCCGTTTCAGTGCCAGCCAGCTCATTGGCAAATCTGCAGGACGAGGACGGTGGATGGGGTGCTGAAGATCAAGAGGAAACAGAGGACATCTCGGAGGCGGTTGTCGCCAGTGATCGAGGTTTTAAGAAACGGAAGTTAGTGCCATCACAAGAAGGTTCGGGCTGGTCAGTGGTCCGGGAAGGTATTAAGCAGGAAAGTCCACCACCTGCCGAGGATGAGAAGCCGGTGGTTGTGGAAGAGGCGCAGGGACGGGGGTTTGTGGGTGGTTTGATGTCAGCGACTCAGTTGCAAAAGGCGATGGGGAAGAAGGATGTGACACCGACTGTTACTGCTGAGGAGATTGCACAGGCGCAAGAGACCGTGTATCGTGATGCGAGTGGGAAGAAGATTGATACTAAAGCGGCACGAGCTGAAGCAGCGCGTCTGAAGCGCGAGCGAGAGGAGAAGGAGGCTCAGAAAATGGAGTGGGGTAAAGGTCTTGTGCAGAGGGAAGAGAGGGAGAGAGAACGACTAGAGTTGGAGAAGCAGAGAGGGAGGAAGTTTGCGCGACACGCAGATGATACCGAGCTCAACGAGGAGTTGAAGGCTAAAGAATTATGGAATGACCCTGCGGCGGCATTTTTGACGGTAAACCATGTGGTTTTGGTATTGGGACTCAGTATTGAACCTTTTATCATCTAGAAATCAAAAGGTAAAGGTCCTCGGAAACCTGAATACACTGGTCCGCCGCCACCACCAAATCGTTTTGGAATAAAACCTGGCTATAGATGGGATGGCGTCGGTATGTCATATTCCGAGGTCTATTATATTTTTCTGAACCTCTTTCGGTGCTAGATCGAGGAAACGGCTTCGAGAAAAAGTTGTTCCAGAGCAAGAATGAGAAAAAACGCAAGGGATTGGAAAGTTATCAGTGGGGCGCAGAGGACATGTAGGTCAGCCTATGTCTTTTGGGGATGTTAAGTCCTTTCCCTCCCATCCGCATTACGTGAGTATTCATTTGAACAAATATCCGCTAGAAAAGTGACTCGCTTGCCTTACAGAGACTGCTTATGGTCCGCTGGCACTCGCGCTCATGACTCAACGGTATTCTCTGACAAGCGCGTCATTCGCCTTGTGTGGCGAGGCTATGACCTCACATGCTCGATGCTGGGGATTTCTTTGCGAAATCGCGTCGTTTGGATAAGTATCGATTATCTGTCCGCTGATTGTTGCAGCGATACAATGTTCAGAGAGCTGAGGAGTATGTCACTACAATATGTGGCCTAATACATGTCACTAATATCGATATCTACCTACGCTGCTTAACACTTATAAGATAACCTCACCTACGCCACGTACATAATCAATGATATGATTACGTGTTGCAAACAAGAGACAACAAAGGACCACGCGCCCTTGTTTCTGGCTTTGGCCTGGTTTTCGATAGCGTCCTCTGCAAGTTCATGTCCTTTGAGCACACCCCAATCAACGACATCCGCCGTCTCCCACACAGCCAGTTCCTCAAGCCCCCTTCCCAAAAAGACCCAAAGCCCCTCCCAACCACTGCCGCGATTTACGGGTATTTTTCGCGTGTTTTCCACCTATACTATTTATTCATTCGTTTCCAGCCACCCAGCGCCCCTGTCGCCCGTCCGCAACGCCGCCCCCGACGACGACGCCCCTGCTCTGACCAGATTCTACCGAAAAAAGCAGGAGCAGGCCGCATCTCGCCCAGGCGCACCAAAGACCACCACTTCGCCCCTCAGGCCCGACCGTTGGGACCTCCCCGACACCACTGTCAACATTGCCGGTGCATTCGCGTCAGCCATGAACACCGCAAACCAGTCGTGGGGCTCCACCGCCTCTCAGCCTCCCTCGCGTCAGGTCGGAAGAGGCACCTCTGTTGAATACGAAGATGGAGCCGCGAATGCTAGCAGGCGCCTTCAGATCTCGAAACCCGGATCCTCGAGCCGCACACGAAAACCCCTTTCCAAGAACGGTTCTTTGACGGTGCCGGACTCCGAAGGGGAAGAAGAACGGCCGTCGCGATCAGAGCGCGAAAAGAGTCCATTCATGGAGATTGTCGATACCGCAAAGAGTGCTTTTGGTACTGCGACTTTTTTCGCGAAACAAAGGATCATGGAACTTGGTGAACCACCACGCGAGAGGGAGAGGGAGTCCAGCTATGATTACGAAAAGGAGCAAAGAGAGTACGAGAACCAGTCAATGCGACGCGCTAAACCCCCTTCAACCAAACGCAACCGCATGTCGGAGGACAATCGGGCATATTTGCCTGACCAGTCTGATCTCGAGTCAGACGAGGATTACGAAAGTGATGGGAAAACAAAGAGAAGGAAAAAGAAGAAGAAGGAACCGGCAGGATCCATGAACAATCTGCCTGTCATAGCCCCTGAAAAGAGAAGAAAGAAGAAGCCGAAAGACAGGAAAGGGGTCACAGGTGAGGCCGAGGACGAAGCAAGCGAAAGCGATGACGCCAGTGCCGAACAAGTACGCGTTTTGCTTTTTACATTTTGTCTGCTCTCGAATCATGTTGGAACATAGATATCTACACGCCAACGCGGGTCACTACGTCCGGACATAGCGCGACATCCATCTTTACCTCGCCAAATTCTCCCGCCAGATGATTACGCACCTGACACTTCAATGGATATCGAGCAGGGCCTTGTTTCCATACCCGAAGAAGAAGACTTGGCACAAGAGCGGCCAAGAGGACGCGAACGAGAACGAGAACGACAGAGCTCTCAACGCCGATCCGTTTCGCGGCAACGTTCTTCTCGCATTGGTGGGCCTTTGGGTCAGCTCGTCAATTTTATCTTTCGAAAGTTGTTCGCACTCGTTTTCATTGTGTGGCAACTCTTCACCAGCGTTCTCTATCTCTCTGGAGGACTCACCGCAAATATCTATGACGTGTTGTTCCGTCGACCTCTTAGCTGGATCGCTTTTGCGGGCGCTGCACCGTTTTTAAAGATGATCGCAATCGGTCTCGTACTCTCTGGCTTGTATTCATTACGTCAGCCGCTGCTACATTACCTTCCTGTCCCTCACTTGGGCGGCCCATCCCAGCCCGTATTCCAGGCACCCGAAATACCCGCTGCGAATATCGCGGAACTCGCGGCACGCCTACAGGTCATCGAGACGGCTCTAGCAGGCCTTTCGTTTGAGGCGGAGAAGGGTCGGTTACGTGCAGAGAGCGATGGGAGGACGCAGTTGGAGTTGGCTGGGCGGCTTGGGGCCCTTGAGAACAAGGTGGGGGTGGAGAGTAGGAAGGCGGTGGAGGTCGAGACGAGGGTTAAGGAGGCCACGAGGGATACGTTTGGGGTTGTCAGACAGGAGATTGAGGTGCTGCAGGCGCAGATACAGGCTGTACAACAACGGCCACCGTCGCCGAGTTCTGGGCATGGGCATGGGCATGGGCCTGCGAATGATGAGGAAGCGAGGGCGAGGGTGAGGGCGTTGGAGGAGCGGGTGGGGAGTGTGGAAGGAGGTGTTAAGGAGGCGCTGGAGCTGGGCAAGAAGGTTATATCTGTGCCTAGCGATGTTGAAGCTGGTGCTGCGTGGTGGAACAAACTGGCTTCAGGAAGCGCAGCCAAGTCTGGTCTGACGATCAAATCGTCAGACGGACAGGACGTGACGTCCCTCATCGAACACCTCGTGGATACCGCTGTGTCAACGTACAGTAAGGACACCATTGCGCGCGCTGATTATGCGCTTCACTCTGGCGGAGCACGCATTATTCCATCCCTCACAAGCCCTACGTTTGAGGTCAAACCCAAGACGCTCCGCGGGTCGATACTGAGCATGATCACAGGCGGCGCTGGGCATGCCATCGGGCGTCCGCCTGTCTGGGCGCTGCACCACGAGCTGCACAACGGGCACTGCTGGCCGGTCGCTGGACAATCTGGGCAGCTTGGCGTGGCGCTCGCGGCGCCGATATATATTGACGAGGTCAGTATTGATCATGTTGCGGAGGAGGTGGCGTTTGATATGCGGAGTGCGCCGAGGGAGATGGAGCTTTGGGGGCTGGTGGAGGGGACGGATAATGTGGAGAAGGTGTTGAGGTGGAAGGAGGAGAGGAGGAGGAGGCGCGAGGAGGCGAGGGAGAATGGGGAGGAAGTGGAGGAAGAGCCGGAGGTCCCGAGCACGCTTCCCCGTGCGCCGATGTATGTGCGCGTTGCGGAGTTTGCGTATGATATACATGCGCCAAGGAATGTGCAGACGTTCCCTGTGGACCCGGAATTGCGTGCGTTGGGCGTGGATTTCGGAGTCGTGGTGCTGATGATGAAGAGTAATTGGGGACGCGAGTATACGTGTCTTTATCGTTTGCGTGTCCATGGGCAGCGGATTGATCAGGTGCCGCCAGTTGTTGGTGAAGAAGAGAAGGTGTAGGCTGTCTCTTATACTTACTGATTTCATGCATGCGTATGTATGACGACAACTTTCCTTTATTCTTTCCATTATTTTCACTTTCTTTTTTTTCAGATGTTGTCCTTACGGGCTCGTGATACATTCTTTCTACTTATCTCATCTGATGTTTTTCTTTACCCCCTCTGGCGCGTACTTATCATACATGTACATATGTCAAGCTATATCCTGTTGGGCTCGTCACTCGTTTTTCGCTTATAGTATTACTAGAAGATGGCTGCAATTGGAAAGGCAACCCAACTTCTTGCGATAGTATCATGATTCTAGTCCTGTTTGACTATACCCCTGACACTCGGAAAGGTGTACGATCCATACATATTTCACT